ATTCACGGGTTCCTTCCTGGAATCTCTTTGCATGGTATTCAATGTCTCCTTTGAACTCGGACTTAGCAAGGTTTCGTAGCAATTCATCTGCTCCGTCCATTGTACGCTTCTTTTTCAAGTTCTCTACCTCCTGTTTTACTTCTCGGAGACCTGCTTCTAGAGTTTCGTGTACTTCTTCTACAGCTCGCTGCGTTTTGGTTTGGGTCTGTGATATTCCCTCTAATTTGGAAACGCCATCCTGAAGTGTTTTGTGGCCTTCTAGTTGGGTCTGACGTACTTCTTTGGTAGTGTCATGGGTTTCGTTTTCGATCTCATGGATTTTATCCAGTTTTGAGAGATTATCATGAAGTGAATTGGGTCTGACGGGCTTCATTTATGGCTTGATGGGTCTTGTTCACAATCTCATGCACTTGCTCCAACCTGGAATTACTTTCGTGTTGAGTTTTGCGATCTTCCAGCTGCGTTTGAAGTATTTTCTTAACATCTCGTTTCATCTCTTTCAGCTCTGACTTTATTTCTTGTTCACTATCAGCCCAGTCAGTTAGCGCGTCAAGGTAATCGTCCTCTCCAAAGCGCTCGGCCTGTAATCTATCAATTTCTGCCTGATCCAGCCCAAGAGTAACAAGAACAGCACTAATTTCCTGCCACAAAGCATTGAAAGTTGGTGTATCAACCCCAGTGGAAGACACATGACCATACAATTCATTGCGGAAAAACTTAATGCGTGCAAGGTTTGCCTCAAGGGAGGTGTCACTTGGAGATGGCTTAGTGTGCCAACCTGATAGGGGAGGGGATAGTCCACAAATATTGGTCAGAAGCAGGAATAGAGGTGTGATGTCAAAAGAAGCGGAGTTTGGCTTAGCTCCACCAGGAGGGAACAATTTGGCCCACTGAAGTTCATTGAGGATTCGTCGACGAAAGAGACGGAGTAGAGTTTTATATTGCACGTTGAGATCAGCATCCAGGTTTGCGGGAGGATGATAACTATCAAAAACGTTCTTCAGGACTGTTGTCCCGCCATCAATGAGACGTCTGCTAAGCTTGGCTCCATTTGTCTTGTCTGCACTGCTGGCCAAAGGTGAAGGTACAGCAGCTGCCATTTCAGATGTTTTGACCCGATGGTTACGACAGTGGTTTACCCTTGCTGAATCTAAATAATTAAGCAACAAGAATCCTGTAAAAATCTTAAAAGATAATAAAATTATGACCAGAGTTTAAACCGCAGTCAGTCATCAATGCGCCGATTACAATCCTAGTTATACTCATCAATAATTAGAACCTTGAATAACAATCGATTATATACCTTTCTTGGTTTTGTTAGAATGGTAACCATACCTTAGAAGGATTGTCATTTAAAGGGCCAGACTCGACCTTGAGGAGGGGAGAAGGGGAGGAATGCCCAGACCTATGTTGTAAGATAATGCAACGTAGCAAAGTTTTGTACATTTCTGTAGGAATTATCTTAATGCACGTTAGGATACAAACATTTTGCTGACATCATTTAACGATCCATGGCAATGACAAGGCGATGAGGGGCTGCCCCTCTTTATCTGGAGTTTGGGTTGAGATTACAGATTTAATAATATTTCATTAAGTTTCTTACAGCATCCATACAGTCTTGGCAACCTATATATTTCTAATGTGTGGTTAAAGAAAATAATTATTCTGATCCACAAACAACACTATCCTACCCCACCCACATTTTGTTTTTGTGGAAAGGCCAAAACCGGCCCTACAAAAGGAAAAAAGCCACCAAACACCAACACGAAATAATGGAACAATTGCTGCAAATAAAGAACACGGTAGGTGTTTTTGAAAGTTTCCTGCCAAACGTATTGAATTACTAGCAACACTAATGAAACACAATTGAGGCTGGACAGGTGGCTGTTGATTTTCAGCTTGGAGGACGCGTACTAGTACTCCTAGCGGACGTTTTGGCAGCAAATATTGAATGTACTGCTAACCCTGTCCTAAACAGACGTCCTAACCAGACAGCCTAACCAAAACCTTTTCAGAGCATGGATACAACATTGTTTACCAGGAAGTGCATAAATTGCTTGAGAAAGGTGTTATCACCTAGGTTGCACCCATGCCTGGGCACATTTTGTTTTGTATGTTTCTCTATCCGAAGAAGGATGGGTGTCATCGACGTACACTTAATCTTAAAAGGTTAAATTAATGAGTCAGTCAGCCACCATCAGTTCAAAATGGACTCACCATACACCGTAACTAAACTCATGAACAAAAATTGTTTCATGGCCTCTATTGACATGGAGGACGCCTATTACTCCACCCCGATTAGCTCTTTAGATCGAAAGTGTTCACGTTTTACCTCGGAAGGAAATTTATATGAATTTACTTGCTTTCCCAAGGGGTTGTCATGTGCTCCTAGGTTCGTTACTAAGCTCCCGAGAGGTCCACTTTCATACCCACACAGGTCCTTACTATTCTGGGCTTTGTAATAACTCGGTAAAAATGAGAGTGTAACTCACCAGGGAGAAGGCTACTAGCTTACAAAGGGCTTCTACCATGTTGCTAACAAGTTCATCTCCACCCATTAGGGTAGTAGCAAGCCTCATCGAAAATAACGTTTCCAGTCTCCCTAAGGCCATGCATCTACCCTTTTACTACCGGCACACTTTTATTGATTAGTGCATTACAAACTGCCCCAAAATATTATTTCTACATCGCAATCTCAGTTACGTGTAACTGCCATAACGTTTATTTTTACATATATATTTTTCGATTGACTGGAAGAGAAAGTGCAACAGCGTATCAAGAAAAGCAGGTCCATTTTGCTAACAAAAGGCTTTGTTATACAGCCCAAAATTAACCTAAAATGGCCAATTTTTAACAATGGCAGCAGCAGCTTAAAAATACTCAAGGGACTTTCAAAATTTCTCGAGCGGGAAATTCGAACGATCGTAAAAAGCAAAGTAACGACAAATTCTCCCCGCGGGAGGTATTACGGGTACAATTTGTTGTGTGTAAATCGTTACACTGGGGCGGCTGGTAGGGGTCACCATTGCGGCTATCGATGATATCACCACTGTTCTTTGGTTTCACTGTTGGAAATTTAGTGTGGCTTTAAACTGGAAAAAGAATTATTCCCCCCTTTCATCCCTCTTAAATTTTCTGATTGGAATGTACAACAGCTACAAGATGAAGGAAATACTGTAAAATATTTGCGGACCTTCGAAGAAAGCTGCCAGGTAATTAAGACTAAATAGAAGTCTGCTGTCCCCTTAAGCTCTTTATATTCATACTGGACCAAAATTCAGTTATGCTCAACAAGCGACAAATTTGCCGATTGTTTCACTTTG